GGCGGCGGGGCTCCTCCCGAATCGACGTTTAGCTGAATTCCTCTCGGTGGCGGCGACGTGGAAAGAATGTGCTTTTGAAGCAGCGATGGCGAATCAGAAGATGTGATTGGCATCGATTGATCGCCGACACAAGGTAACAAAATATTTCCTCCCACCTTACATCCTTCTCGCCTGGAAATATTTCTTGATGGTTCCTCTTCCCTCTCTCGTTCGTGCTTGCCTGGAAGAGTATTTACTCGGTGTTCTTCCCGGTGTTGTCAAAAGTGTGCGTGTTTGCTACGGATGATGGATTTGGAATATTTGTGCGTGAGGTTTTTTCCTCGTTTTCTTCTTTGTTCTTCTCTTTCTCAGGATCCAAAAACGCAGCTAGCTAGCTGCACAGAATTTGTGACAGAACGTTCGGTGGCATCGATGAGATCTCCTTGGCCTGGGAACAAGATATGATAAGGGAGAAAATGAACTGAATCTCCAGAAGAAGCCTCTGTTAGATGGTGGGCAGAAGAGGAGGAAGAGCGCAAGTTGCCACTGGTGTCCTGATCAAAAAGTTATCATAGTCCTTGCACGGCAGATTGCTGCAGCAGCGGCGCCAGCGAGCCAGCGTTCGTGAAACTGGCACATCTCCATTTTAATGGCGCCTGGTTTTTTAGACACTCTATGGGCAGTTATCATCATCCACCTCTCGACTACTACCACTACTACTGCAAATCATCCAGGAAGGTTCATCTTACTCTCCAGGCGATGATCCTCGCAAAAGTTCTCCGCTGGGCTTTTCCACTTTCTCGTTTCTGGTCTCCGGGGCTGTGAGTGGGAAAGCATTGGAATCGTGGCTTGCAGAGCGGGGAAAAGCTGGAAAAGGCCGGGGTTGCTGCAGCAGGAGCTTTGGGGAGGAAAGTTTTGAGCAGGCACAGATAGATATGTGGACCAGCGGCTCGTCACTTGGAAATATCAGAAGTTGCTGCCGCTGCTGGAAGCCGGATACGGGATTTAAGTGTGGTGATTGTGTGCAAGGCGAGCGCAGCAGGCCATTATGTATTCCCTCTTGTTTTTTGCGGTCTTTTCTGTTTTTTTTTTCTTCCAGTGTGGTGCTGGCTCAGACTCGTATGTGTGTTTGTGCTGTGTTGAATGCTCTCGCCACTTGAGGGGACGCTACTAACGGACTTCGGCTTGGCTTCCTTTTTTTCCAGGTGCCCGAGGAGATAGCGCTATCAACCATCCGCGGACGGAATTTTTTCAGGGTTGTGAACTCGTTGCTGGGCTGGATAGGTGGTGCCGGGACGGCCTTCTCAGCCGCAGGATCATGGAGCTGAGGTGCTGTGCCAGGTAAATGCATGAAGAGCTTGTTTCTGCTCGAAAATGAACCATTTCCAGCAGCAACAGACACACGTTGCGCAGCAAAGCCGGCGTGAGAAGTTGAGGATACCAGGCTCGCTGCATCCTTCCTCGCCTCAGAGTGGTAACCACAGTGATCACTCGGCCGGGTCGGCCTCTGCAGTTTTGGAAGCTCGCCAGGGACAGGATCACAATTTCAATGGCTCCACGGCAGTGCGAGGCGGTGGCGGCGGGGGAGGAGGAGCAGGAGGATACCCGGAGCTGCCTTTCCAGAATGTCATGTCGGCGGCGGATGCTTACAACTTTGGAGCGGGATCCGAGCTCTTGGCTTACACAGCAGCCAAGGCAAACGGCTTCATGGGGTCGGCTGGGTCAGATATGCTCCCCCCGCAAACACCTCTGGCAGCTGCTGCTAGCTTTTCCAATCCCGCTGCTGGCGTCATTTCGAAGAACTCATGGACTGGTACGAGTGGTGGGATAAATGGTCAGCTTGGTGGTCACTACAATGGAAGCAGCAACCCGTTGAGCATCACTGGAACAGGCTCCCCTCACCCCCCATCCTCCAGCGCAGTCGCAGCGACAATGTTAGGTGGTTTACAAGGTGGTCCTCAGCAACTCGGGGGGAGGGAGGGGCCGATGACGAGTTACCTCTCCGGGCAGAACAGTGCGCAGGCCGAGGCAATGCAGCTGTTTCTCACGGGTTATTCGGGCTACTCGGATCCTTCAACGCCCGGGGGCATGGTTTTGATCAGTCCCTCGAGCGGGAGCTCGGTTCAGAGCAGTCAGCTGACTGGCAGCGCACCTGGGCAGTCTCACTTTATAGGAATTCCACTTACGCAACCCAGTTTATCGCAGCAGGATGCCTCTGGTGGCAATGGTCTTCCCTCCAGTGCGTTTGCTTCGAGAGGTGGAGCCAACAGTACATACAACTGGAGAAACGGAGGGGACGAGTTTCTTTTTCTGCCATCCAGCGAGGCCACCCAGCAGCGAAAGTCGATAAGCGGCGAGCCGAGCGGCATAAACCAGATAACCGAACTTTCCGACTACGCTCTACGACAGCCTTCTCTCTCATCCATGCTGGGACAGCAGCATCAACAGTCCTTGCTGCAAGCTGGCCATCGCCTGGAGATGGATAATTCTCATCAAGGAGCTGCCGCTGGACCGGGATATCACCAGAGCCTCTCGCTTTCCCTGTCAAATCAGAACGCTCAGCTTCATGCGCGTGAACCGGGCATGAACTCACCAGCTGGTTCTCAAGATGCGAAACGAGGCGTGGGCAAGCTTTCGGGGGACCTGAGCCACTTTAGAACTTCGCCCAGGGATGGTGGTGCAAGCTACGTCAACTTGCCGAGCAGCGCGGGCACCAAGCATTCTTACTTTGACGTAGCAGGTCCAGGACCATCTGCAGTGTCCAACTCGTTCAGCTTCGTGTCCGGCAGTCGGTACTTGAGAGCCGCGCAGCAGCTGCTGGACGAGGTATGCAGCGTGGGGAGGGGCCTCAAGCAAAGCTCCAAAAGTAAAGGATCGCAGCAAGGCTTGGGTGGTCAAAGCAGTCCAGCTGCAGTCACAAGTTCCCTGCACAAAGAGGCTGCTCTAACGGAAAATTCAGTGAAAAGTGAAATTACCATAGGATCATCTGCCGTCGCCAGTCCTGGTACAGGACCAGCTACCGTCTCGACAGTCGCACCCTCTACTAACACCGCGGAGAGCAAGGAAAATGTATCCGTGCTCACGCCCGATGAAAGGCAGGAGTACGAAGGCAAGAAGACCAAACTTTTGGCTATGCTTCAGGAGGTACTGTCTCTCTTTTTCTTGCTCTTGACTTCCAACTATCTACTTACTGTAGCTTCGATGAAAAATTTGCAGGTTGATAGGCGTTATCGGCAATACTATGACCAAATGCAGGTGGTCATTACTTCCTTCGATGCTGTTGCTGGAGCGGGCGCCGCGACTCCATACACAGCACTCGCGCTGCAAGCAATGTCTCGCTACTTCAGGTGCCTCCGGGACGCTATAACAGGCCAGATCCAAACGACGTGCAAGGCTCTGGGTGAGGAAGACGTGACGAAGAGCATTACGAGCAGGCCTCTCACGTCCCGGCTGCGGTTTATTGATCAACAAATCCGCCAGCAGCGAGCGTACCAGCAATACGGAATGCTGCAGCAGCATGCATGGCGCCCTCAACGGGGATTGCCGGAGAGATCGGTATCCATTCTACGAGCGTGGCTATTCGAACACTTTCTGCATCCGTAAGTCCTTGAGCTTTTTCGCGTATAGCCACACGCATGGGATGTCTTTGACGTGCTTGACACGTTCTCTTTTTTGCTTCACAGGTATCCCAAAGACGCAGATAAAATGATGCTCGCTAGGCAGACAGGTCTAACGAGAGGCCAGGTGCGTGCTTTAAAAAAAGCTTTTGTCCTCGGAAGCTTCTTGTTGTGGCTTAACTTGCTGTGGAATCTCTGCAGGTCTCCAACTGGTTTATTAATGCCCGAGTCCGGCTCTGGAAGCCTATGGTCGAGGAAATGTATCAGGAGGAGATTAAAGAGCAGGAGCTCGGGGTGGCGTCCGCTAGACTGTTGGCAGATCCAGACGAGCGGCACAACCATGATGGAGTTGGAGGGGACTCGCTGACGAGCGACCGGAGCGACAGGGGCGATATGGGGGCCGGGCTGATGCAGCTGGACGGGAGCTCCGAGCAGCAGAGCTACGCGTCCGAGTATGGAATGCTGGCGTCCATAAGGAAGGCGGACTCGGTACAGATGTTTGGGGCCGCCGACTCAGGGGCGCAACATGTGAAGAAGACGAGGCTGGGGATCCAGGACTCGGTGGGAATGCTGGCGGATCACCACCACCACCACCATCACCATGGTCACCACCACCACCACGCTGGAGGAGGTCTGGACGTGGAGATGAAAAGCCACGATAGTGGCGAGGGAATCATGTGTGGCGTGCCGCCGCCAGGCTCCCTGGAGAGGCACTTTGTGGACTATGCCGCCGCGCAAAACGGGCCGCTCCACTCGGATCACGGCTTCGACGACCAGAGCAGGGGGTTTGGGAGGACGTCCTACGGTGGCGGATTTTCGTCGCAACAGCAGCAGCAGCAGCAGCAGCAGTACCCGGGGAGCAGTGGAGTGTCGCTCACGCTGGGGCTGAGGAACCACGAGAGCCAGCTCCAGCAGCTAGCGGCGGCGGCGCAGCAGTCGTTCCTCGGCCACCAAAACTTCCTGGCGGTGAGTCGCGGCCACACTCAGCACCACCAGCAGATTGGAGGAGACCATGGAAGCGAGCTGTGCAACATCTACGAGAACGCCGCCGCGGCCGGGTTGAATGCCGGGCACCAGCACGCACACATTGGAGGAGAGCAAGGAGGAGGAGGAGGAGGTGGTGGTGGTGGTGGCGGCGGCGGCGGCGGCGGCGGCATTGATTATAGCCAAGGCCGCAAGCAGCAGCATATGGAGGGCCATCTTTTGCATGACTTTGTAGCGTGAAAGAGGCAGCACAGCCACGGCACAGCAGTTTAAAACTCCCTGCGGCAACGATCCCGTCCGTAGCCCAGGGGTGTAATTCTATAAAAGAGCAGAAGAAGAAATGAATAGATTTCCATCTAGACTACGCGAAAAAGCATATCCTCTAGAATATACCTAACAGAGTAGTATATTCCAAGAATATAATCAGAAAAGCATATTCTATAGCATATCTTAAACCCTAAAAGGACATTCTGCGAATCAGCATATCCGGCGTATTTCTGGAATTTACACACGGGGTTTTATCTGCACGACTGGAATGTTATCCCCCCGCAGAAGAATGTTACAACAAGGAAGATGAGCACGAGGATGACAAGCGCGAGGCACGCCCTGCGAGACCGGCCAAAAAGCAGATATTAAATGCATTAGCAACACGTCGATGGAACACGTAGAGATCAGGAAACGAGGCTTACGAGAGCTTGAGCGTTTGCATCCATTGTGCGTGTCGCGCCTTGCGCGCTTGCTTCTTGAACCGGAAAGCGTTGTCTTCGATGTGCGCTGTTTTGTCCACCAGCAGCTCCAGCCGGTCGCCTCGCTCCAGGATCTTGTCGATGTTTTGGACCATGATGCTGCGAACCTGATCATCACGGACGCACCACATCGTTACTCAAGAATGGTTTTTGCAAGGGACTCACGTCTGTGATCTCGCCCTTCACCCGGTTGATCGCGTCGGCGTTGGGATCGTTCGAGAAGAAATCCATCTGCTGGTGCAAAACCCGCGAGAACTCGTCGTTCATGGCGTACGACAGCGCGGTCTGCCCGGCTCTTCCGTAAGTTCTCGTGAACCTGGTGTGGATGTCCTCCAGGAACGCATACGGGATCCTTCCTACAAACGCAATGTGAGAAAAAGGATAGAACAAGCTTGGAAGAGAAGATATGATCAAGGACTTACTTCCAAAAGTCTCCGATGCCATACAGAGGAAGACGAGCCCATCCAAGCGCATTACATGGAAGATGTGCCTGTCCTGCGAGTAGGACATGCGGCTGTCGCCACCGGGAGGGAAATTCTCCAGGATCCGGCGCGCGATCGTGTGCGCATTGCCAGGAACCGATGCGTATTCCGCCAACACAATCTGCCCCCTCGCCACGAGCGCGTACAAAATCGCCATTGGGGGAATGGATAAATCACTCCTGAAATTCTCAACTATCCAGCTCCACCCCGCCCTTCCAGATCGATCCCAGAACCACGACGCACCTGTTGGATCGACTCGCGGAAAGCCCTAGCGCTACTGTTTCCCTCCCTATCGCTTCAACCCATTTTGCTTTTACTAGGCGGATCTGACCCGTTGGAATCTCGACGGGCCAGATGGGCGCATCGCAGCCGTCGGCTCGACAACGGCCCAGATCTCACTATGGAAGGTGGTTTATTTCTCTAGAAGGAAAGAACGACTACTTTGCGAAGCTATACGGTGCCAGTTTGCTCGGGGATAGCTTAGCGGGCGACACTGTACCTGATTGTGGTGGCTGGGGGAACGCAAACGCTGGGATCCCAGTCACGATGACTTCCTGCGATGGAAGCTGGTAACTTATCTCCAGATCTTCCAGCTGCTGCTTCATGTAGAGCAGCATATTGCTCCGGCGCTTGAATCGCTCGCCGGCCTCCTGGTTTGATCCAAAAGAGAAAAGAGAGAAGGGCTATCAATCACTGGAGAATGGAATGGAGAGACTTACGTGATAGTTGAGGTGGTGCTGGAAGTAGTATCCCATCTTCATCTTGTTGCAATCGTCAATGTCCTTACACATGAGGCCGAAGTCCGGGTACCAAAACTGCGGCTGGCTGTCCACGTATCTCTGCATTCTCTCCTTGAGCGCGCCCAGCTTCTCCAGCGGCGTGTTCATGTGTATTTGGAACTCGATTCCGTCCCACTGGTCGGGGCTCCTGTAGTAGTTTGTGATATACTTGGTCCCCAGGATGACGTTCGGGTAGTATATTTTCTCGTTCGTAGGACTGCGGCGGAAGGAAAATGGTTTTAGTATCTAACCAGAAAAACGGTGGAGAGACTTACCCGAGGAAAACAGTGTTGAGGACGTTCATTTCCTGAAAGCAACCCAGAACCGTAAAACACTTTTCTACAACCAAGACTTTCTTTTTTTTTTTTCTCTCATTTGCTTACCTCTACCAGCATCATCGTCCCGTCGACGCTCACCCGGTCGCCAACGTCATACGGATGGAGAATAAAGAGGAAAAGAAGTGCCTCAAACGTCGTCCGTGCCGCATTGCCGAATATAAAAACGCAGGGAATAAATATCGAGGAAAAGAAGACCAGCAACTTGGCGGTTTCAACACCCAGGATGAGGAGCGACACAATGATGAGACCGATGCCGAGCACCTACGGAGACGAAACACGAGTCCATCAGCTCTGGCTAAAAGAAAAATCACTTTGACGCTTATCACCTTTCGATCTTAATTCTGTTGAAGCGAGAGAAATGTACCGCATTTAGAACTCTGTGAAGCTTGGCGACAACCGTTTTGTTGTCGTTCAAGGTCAGAGCAAGGGCCCGCCGCTCCTTGTAAACATTTACCACCCACTTCACGAAAGCCTTCTTGGTAATTGTCCCACTTTCAGTTGCCTCGAAGAGAGCAAAAGCTCGACTCGCTTTGTCCTCGGGCAAGAAGTATAAAAAATCCCTGAGCATCAGATACTTCCTCCCTGGCCTGGCAATGTTATAGAAAATCTGTAGTCAAACAGAAAGTTCTGGTCACCAGTTAAAAAATCTTGGAAATAAAGTGTGATCACCTGCTTGGCCGCAGCTTTAGCTCGTACTTCACTGTCGATCTCCCACTCGCCTTCATTTTTGGCAAACTGTGCGGAGTAACTTGCGAGATTTTTCTTCCGGATAAGCTTCATTAGACTCTTTAATGTCCAGGCAGATACATTCTGCAAAGAAACGGTGGAGCTTAGTAACCAGCTTTGCGTTGATACATTTGAAATTACCTCGGAAGTCAGCTGTTGCAACTTATCTTGTTCGATGGGATTAGCGCTCCTCGCAATAATAGGAGCCTGGAGTCTGGGCGAACCTTCTCCAACAGTAGCTTCCTGACCAGACGGAATCCTGGTCATCAGCCTGCGCATCTTGTTGGGCGACTGAGGGTTATATCTGGAAGTTATTAACTCCTCTCCTCCAGTGGGATCGGCGGTGATTTGCATTGTAGGTGGCGACGAAAGTGTAGCCAGCAAGTACTGGTTGAACAAGCACTCCTGAATCCTCTCAAAGTATGCAGATCGGTGAAATCCATTGGCTGCCACTTTGACAGCCAAAACTTTGATCATCCAGGACAGGCAAATAGTAAAAATGCACCAGAGTATCTACAAAAGAAAAGAGTATCAACGTCACCCATCCAGTACGGTAGAAGTAAATTACCCTTGTGATCACGCGCAATGCTTTGGAGTCGCGCTCTATGAACACCGTTTCCCAGATCGTGATGACAAGTGCCAGCCAGATACAGTTTTTCACGGACTTTCGTAAGCCATAGACAAAGTAAAGTACACGTTTTCTGAGGAGAAAGCGTTTTTCTATTAGAAGCACGAACGCCTGTAAAAAAACACGGATTTAGAACGATCGACATAGAGAGAAAGAAAACGATAAACGAACCTGTACAACCCATCCGGCAATCAACCTTCCGGAAAATATGACAAGAGCAACAGCCTGCCATCTCCAGATATTGTCACCCAACCAAGTGATATCCCTGACAACTTTGATGTTCACGGAGCATATCAGCAGCGTCACCAGGAGCACGAAGCAAACCCACTGGCAGACCACCCAAAAAAAACTCTCATCCTTCTTCAGCTTCTCCTTATACTCTGGAATAATTGTATCCTCCAAAGGATCGTCATCGTCTGGGTTGGCTTGAAGGCTCGGCTGCTTCGCAAGCGGAGTGCTTGGCTGCTTAAAAGACCCGGGAGTCGTGGAGCCTTGCTGCTGCTGTTGCTGCTGCTGCTGCTGCTGCTGGTGATCCGGAAGAGGAGCCGCGTGAGCCTCGGACGATGGAGTTAACGTTGTCGCAGCTCGCTTGAGATGGAGAGAGTCGGCGATTTGGTCCTTGACGGCCGGAGTTATTGGCGGAGGCTCTTGAAGGCGTGCCTTGGTTTTGCTCAAAACAGTCCCGGCCAGCGGACTCGTCAAGAGGTTGTTCACCTCCTGATCAGCGGCCTCCTCTCCTTCACTCTCATCTTCGCTCTCTTCAGCATTCCTTGACGGTACTTTCTCCAAGATGGTGGGATGAGGAGAAGATGGTAGCTTTAGATCGGAGATCTCTGGCCTCTTGAAAGCCGCAGTACTAGTCCTCGTATCTGTCCCAGACAACTCAGCTTCCTCCCTGATCGTGGCGGCGCTGGTGCTCGTTTTCTCATCATCCTCCCGGTAGACACCACTAGAGCTTGCCAATGGCTCTCCTCCCTCGGCATTCCTGCCAGAATCCTCCACCTGGCTCTCTAGATCACTGCTGGGAAGCGAGGAAGACGTCGAGGGCTGCTGCTCGTGCTCGCTGGAGACAATCCGAACGACCGGAATTTCCCGGCCAAAGGAAGGAATGCTGGCCAAGCGCTGCACCACAATCCTGCTTCCGTCCCGGACCTCAACATCCTTCCTAGCAATCGTCTCACCTTCCAGCGGCTCCTCGATGAGCGTCTCCGGGACTCCAATGTCCTCGGCCCCGACATCCTCGCCCAATCCGGCCTCCTCATCGCGATCCCGGTGGTGGTGGTACATTGCTCCAGCTACGGCAGCTCCGGAATCCTCATGCTCGATCGATCATCGCATGGCCGGCGCCCAGCGAGCCCTAAACCTAACTGCGATGGCGCGCGCAGGAATCAAACTTTATTCCTTATATCTTCCGGGAGGGAAGGGACTCGAACCCCTTGACAAAGTAGGGTTTTTGGTTAGAGAGATTCTAGGGATGGTGTGCGCCTTGCGCCCCGGCTCAAGATCCAGCTCCGTGACGGTAAGTCCTCGCAATGCCCGTTACGACGATGTGAAATTCTTGCATTGCTAGCATTGGATCTTCTCATTCTACCCGTTGTGCCAAAGAGTTTGTGAAGCTTTTAGTTTCTCGAGCTCACTCTTCTAAAATCTGAGATGCTTGGAAGAATGCAGCGTCATCGTTCCAAAGAGTTTTGTGAAACTTTTAGCTTCTCAAGCTCACTCTCCTAAAACTTGAGATAGAGTTATGTGAAACTTTTTAGTTTCTCGAGCTCACTCTTGTAAAACCTGAGATGCTTGGAAGAATGAATGCTTTCGTTCCAAAGAGTTTTGTGAACCTTTTACTTTCTCGAGCTCACGCTTCTAAAACTTGAGATGCTTGGAAGAATGCAGCGTGAGCATGGATTTGGCGGACGGCCTGGGCGGTGAGGTCATCCCTTGTGCGGCCGACGAGGAGGTGTCCGTGTGCTACCAGTGCGGGCAGCTCTGTGAGAACAACTTCACATACTGCCACTCGTGCTTCGAGCAGCGCTCGCAGAGCGATTTTCGCAATGAGCAGCGCTGGAGGAACACGGAGAGCAGCCTCCAGAGTGCCGAGCTAGTCCTCCAGCGGGAGCGAGCCAACATCCGGCGGCTCGAGGCCACGGTCTCGGCTTTCCGAGCGATGCTACTCCAGGCCATTCATCCCGACGTGACCATCGAAACTGGCGATGGTGATACCACTCCGGCACACCGAGCAGTCCTGGTATGCTTTCCGTATCTCTTAAGTTGCCCTTGTACACAGGAGTTCTCCTGAGTTTTTCTTTGTGTTCTTCGTTCTCTCCAGGCGAGTCGATCCCCGGTTTTCAATGCCATGTTTGAGCACGAGCTCAAAGAGAAGACTTGTGCTGTTATCCGCGTCGCTGATGTTCCCACGCCAGCCATGCGCGCTTTGCTTCTCTACTTGTACACAGGTGAAATTCGATCAAGCTCTCTCGCTCTCTCCCTTTTATTTTCCTTGAGCTCGATCTCCTCGCTACTTCTCCAGGGGAGCATGACACCAAAGTTATGAAGGATCACGGGATGGCCTTGTTGGCCGCGGCTCACAAGTACGACATCCCGGACCTCAAGAAGATCTGCGAGACGGCCGTCTCGGTTCATGCTTCCAACGCGCTCGAGGTGCTGCAAAACGCGCGGCTCTACGATGCCAACCATTTGAAGCGCGTGTGCATCGAGTGCATTGCCAGGAACATCAAGCAGCTCGCGTTTGCGGACGAGTTCCGGCAGCTCGTGTTCAAGAACGAAGATCCAGAGGCCGTCTTGGATATCAT